ATATTTTCAAATTTAATTTTTCAATTTAATCTGAGATTTCAGATTTATACTTTTTCTAAAAATAAAAAATCGAGAATCGTTTGAGCTTAAGGATCACTCGGACACACATTAAATTAAAACTTTGATAAACCTGTCAAACCATGCACGAGAAGACAATTTTAGGTCATACAATGACTTATTCAATATGTATTCTTTGTAGTCATATGAGGAATGATCTAAACATGGAGATATCTCCATGTACATATCCCCAAGATCCTCATTTAAGAATGCATTTTCAATATCTAACTGATGAATAGAACATTCTTAATTCATTATAAGCGATAACAGTACTCAAACTGTGCATAGCTTCACAACGGGTGCAAAGGTTAATCAATTCCATATGACTGAGTGAACTCATTTGCCATTAACCTTGCTTTGTATTTGACATTGAATATACATTTGCAGCCCATTGTTTTCTTTCCTTGTGATAGTTAAGTGAGTACCCATGTCTCATTACTCTCCAAGTCCTTAATCTCTTCTTCAACAGCTTTTTGGAAGGTATTGCAAATCGAGATACCGAAACAAATATGCCACAGCAATATTGGATTTCAAAAAAAATTAGGACTAAAGGAGGAAACATCTAAGGGCCGCACGGACCAGCTAACCGACAGTCTAGCCCCGTGACAAAACAGACCTTGAAGTACAACTTGTGTGTACTTATCATGTGATAGCCTGCAGATTCAAAAAACAGTCTAAGAAGCATTGAAAAATCCAATTTGAAAAAAGGTTGTTGAAGACCCCCACCATTTAGAGAATAGCAACACATGTAATAACTAAAGTCTCTCACAACATTATATTCACAGTAGAAAACCAGGTAATAACTAAATATTTTTTTGGGATACTGTTTTATTTCAGTTTCGAACTATAACCTTCTCTTTAAACTAGATAATGTCTTTGAGGATACATTTACTTCACAAAATGCCACCACCAATTAGAGTCATTTTAGTTCACATAAAGAACCAAGCAAGAGAAAAGATGGGGCATATTTTTTTGTTTTGATTAATATGGGGTAAATACAATAAATAACAATAATTCATTTAACACCAAATCACTTAATTCGTGCGGCACTTCCGTTTCTATCAGGGGTATCCTTGACAAATGCTTAGAAGATGTGAAGGGGGTACTCAGAAAACTCAAAAGAAGTTCTCCATGCTGCATGAGTATATTTACATAGACATGAACTTGTTCCTAGAGGTCTTAGGTTCAAGTAGCTGCATTTCAAATACTACCGTTTATAATCACTTTAGCATTCATCAATTACAGCTTACGATTTGCACTAATTATTCTTAAAACCCTACAATTTAAAAGGAAAAAGAAAAGAAAAACAATACATATAAAAACACCCCAAAATGCAAAAAATAGATTACAAAGAAATTACCCAAATTTTCAATTAGAACTAAAAATCCAATTTTAATTAGGATTATTACTAATTATTTTTCAGATGCTAATCATCCCTTGAATAAATTTTTTAATACCCCTGGAATAGCAATGGTTGGAGAAATGGTTAAATTTCTGTTATTAGTCACTATCTTATACATAACTTATGAATTCAATCTATATATTCTAATCAAATTAAGTTTTATTTTTTTATACTTTTTTGAGTTTTAAATTTTCAGTTCTATTCATAAAATGACTCGATTAGAAAACAAAAGCTAAATCATAATTAAAAATAATAAATTTGGATTTATAAAATTAATAATTACTATTAAGGTAAGACTAAAATTTTATTAAAACTTAAAATAATTTATTTGAGGAAATGTTGAAGATAATAGTTAGTCATTAACGGCATCAGTCACGAGAACATTTGAGATACAACTAGGAGAATCGTCATCCCACCGAGATGACGTTGCGCCAAAAGTAGTGGTGCTCAAAAATACCTAATCCATTAGTTCGTCACCCTAATACTAAAAAATCGGGTAATTTTTTAAAATAAAGTTATTCAATCCGTGTTTTTTTTTCAGGTTGGGTCGGGTCTGGGTCGAAATTGTTTTATAATCGAGTATCCGACCCAACCCAATAGTTTTAATATATGTATATTTTTTAAATTTTTAATTATATTTTTATTTTAGGTTCATTAATATTTTCACCTTAGAACTAAATTTAAATGCCTAAATTCTTTTTAAGTTTGTATTATGTATTTTTTAAGTTTTAAGTTTTTCAAAAATATTTTTATTAATTTGTCAATATGAGATTCAAAGGAAAAAATCACATTCAAATATCAATATTTTTAATGTTTTCTTTTGGAAATAAACTTTTATATACATATATCCAAATATTTATCCTTAAAACTAATTTCAAATCACTAATTTTTATGTATAAATTACACATTATGAACTTTTTAAAATTTATGTGCTTCTTATGAGATTTTTAAAAAAAAAACATTGGACTTTTTTTTAAAAAAAATGTTAACCGAATATTTGATACCAAATCTTACGAGTACCCTGATTTTACGGGTACTCGATAATTACGAGATGGGACACATGCCGACAAATATACTACCCGAAGAATCGGATACCCGAATATCCAAAAAAATGCGAATACCCAATTATGAACATTCCTATCCAAAAGTAAGCCATGCTTCCTCCAAATGAATCCAACTACGGATAAATCCGTAGAAGAATGCAATAAGTGATGAACGACATTAACAGCATCACTTTTAATACGAATATTTGTGCAATCCAAGTCGAGTGCCAGCCGGATTCCTTTGGTGAGCGCAGTGGCCTCGACGATCGCTGCATTGCATGGGCCATAGATCGGGATAGCACGAGCAACCACCACATGATCGTGATGATCTCTAACGATGGGTACCTAAAGCAGGTGTACCTGGGCCGACCGGACATGCATGTTGATCGGATGCTAATTATCCCTTAAATTGAAAATACTTATATTAAAAGAATTATACTACAAAAATAAAAATAGTAATGGAGGGAGCCAAGAGGGATTACCTCATCCATTTTTCCTCATATTCTAAATATAAGGATGTTTATGTTTGTAATTGTTTCATATAACTTCTCACTTTTTTTACAAATGAATTTTTAATTTTATATTATAAAATTATATAATTTCAATGTTTAATACACATAATTTTGACTAAAATGCGATATTATCCCAAGAAACAATACTGGTGTTAAAAGGAAAAGGCTTATTATAAATCAGTATTTTAAATACATAAAGTAATTTTTTATTAATGTAGCGTGTCAACTTTTTTAGAATTTAGATGAAAAAAATTGAATACTTTCAATACCTATTTTAACAATAAATTAATTTAGGTGTACCTATTTTGATAAAAAAAATTCTATGTACTTAATTGAACAAAAAAATAGTTTAGGAACTTAAATAAAAAAGATGGTATCCATTAAACACTTATTTGTGATATAAGCTAAACACTTATTTGTGATATAAGCCAAAAAGGAAACCCTATTCACAAACAATCGTTCACCCGGCAACGAGAGATCCACATAAGAAACTTGGATTCAATCTATGCAATCTTCATCCTCATCTTCAAATTATTAAATGTCCATTAAACCTCGAAATCATCATTGTTAGGGTACGCTTTTTTTAAAATTAATCACTAATATCCGATCTCCGATATCTGATTTATTAAATAATTATTTCATATAACTTTTTGCATATACCCATTATGGAAGCAACCCTCCCAACTTAATTTATTTCATTCACAAATGTTATGATTCAAACATTGACCTTACTTATGGTTAAGGTTCGGTTTCGTTTAAACTTCCCCCAAACTATCAGTAGGTTACATAAAATTAACCAAAATTTTTTTTTTGAAGGATTTCACCGTCCCCTAAGCTGTAAATAAAGCATCTTAGACAAAGGCAGTTACTTGTTATTTTGGTACATCAACTAACAAGTTATGTCTGAGCTATCATGTAGCAATACTAAGCTAAGAGTTGCAGGGAACCATGGAAACATTTTAGAACAAAAGGGTGAATACTGAACAAACTCGGTCGAGCCATGGGTTAAGGGAGTAAAGGATGGAGGCTCTGTTCATGCTCTGGCTTATGTCTAAGACAACATAAGTGATGCCTCTAACTTCTCTGCTAATTTACATTATACACGGCCACTCTCATCCTTCATCATTTTGTCAAGGAAATTCATAGTTGATGGCCTGCGGCATCACTTGGGGTTCGTCTTAAAATCCAATTCCAAATGCTATTTTCATGACGCTTTTCCATGCAGCATAAAATGTGAATTTTCAGGTGAAGCTTACTGTCGAGGTACAGGTGGTGTTGACTGAGGGTTTTGCCCATAAAACCCGATACCTGGAGGCCGGTAAAATCCTCTTGTGGTTGGCTGCTGCTGAGGCTGAGATTGTGGCTGTTGCTGAGGCTGAGACTGTGGCGGTTGCGAAGGCTGTATTGGCTGAGAATCAGGTCTAGCTAAATTCATTTCAGTATGTGGGGGAAGAGGAGGTGGTGGTGGCAGTGTGTTTGCTCCATATCCATAAGGCATTACCCCTATCATCATACCAGTTGACTGCATATATTGACTTCCTGAAGGATTTGCAGGAGAGAGCGAGGGAGTTGGAGCAGAAGCAAAGGGAGCAGGAATCTGGTTGCCTAGGGACATCGGTTGCATACCAGACAATGGTGCAAGCGGCATGTTGTTAATTGCCTGCTGCTGCAGAGGGTTAAAGTAGGTTGTTCTGGGGATGTCTGAATTGCTTGCGTCTGATACAGGCATTGGTTTTTCAAGTTTGGGATGCTTTTCAGGAGGAAACATTGATAACACCGATGCGAACCCACCGGAATTTAAGCTACCATTCATAGAGGCAGCTTCTTCTGCAACAAGGGACGAAAGCACAGATGTAAGCATCTGAGCAGAAGATGTTGAAGCATCAAGCTTAGTAGCAACAGCAGCTGCTGCAGCTTTCTTGTTATCTTCTTCAGTCATTTTTGAAGGTGCTAAGGAAATCACAGGCTGTGGAAGATGAGGCTGAGCTGAAGGAAGGTTCTGTTCACCTACAGAAACAGCCTCAACTGTAGGGATAGAAGTAGTAGTTACATTGCCATGCAAATGGGGAAAACTCAGCCTGTTCCTTATATTGTTTCTTTGCTCAATCTGACCGCGAGCAACCTGCGCACATCATCACTTCACTTAATTTGAAAAAAATAACAAATGTTGAACAAGTTGCATTTATATCCAATATCGTTAAGGGACACTCCTAGGCAAGCCTACCAAGGTGCTGCAATTTAGCATCAAACACCGACAGCAAATTAGAGACTTTTGGATGATGCACATTTGATCAGACACACATGAAACACTTAAATATGCTATTTTGTACGGCAATAGGTGCAAGTAAAAAAGAGAACGAATTTCCTTTTAACTTCTTTAATTTTTTATTTTTCAATATACCTTTAAAAAGGATAACATCGAATTTTCTATTTCTCAATGTTTGAATATTCCAATTAAAACAAGGGGACTTGGTTTTAGGTACATTTATTAACACAAACTACAAGTTTTATTCCCATCTGGCTATACAGAAAATGTATCTCGGTTGTTTGTGATTCGTTCCAACAGTAGCAAATAAGCCAAACTGCAAAGGATTTTCTGCTTAGATCTAAACAAATCTATATATTTAAAATCTTACTTGATGCGAATTGCCAGCTCAAGCAATTTGTTAGTAAAAATGCAATTCTTACCTGCAGCTGACTACGAATAAGCACCAACTTTGATTCCTGAAAAACTTTAAATTATCGAGTACTAGACAAGGACAAATGATTTCAAACTGCAAGTTCCAATTCAAGAAGACATGATAGTAACAAAAGCATACTTCTTCCTGAAGTGCTTCTTTAAGGTGAAAAATCAAAGTGGCCCTAGTTGTTTCAATGTTTTCAAGTTGTTCAACACATTTCTGGAGAGCATTTTCTTGCTGATGTAGCTCATCTAGCAAGGCAGATCCATTCTGATTCCCTAACCAAAATCAAACACATGCACTCCGTGTTGTTACAAAAGCACACAATATATCAAAACTTAAGGCAAGATTGTAATAACATCAAAGTTCAGGTTACCAAGAAATAAAATAATCAGCAGTTAAAAACCTCAACCAAGAGATGTCCAATTAAATTATTTTGCAACAAAACACTTGTGACAAAATTCCTAAGTAAAAGGTTCAAATATATGTTCTCGTTCATCACTATTAAATCAAAAAACCAATTTATTACGGGGACTCATCTGATCAAATGCACTATATATGTAATACACTCAAAACATATTAGAACGTAACCAAAAAAAAAAATAGAGTAAAAATTGTACTTCATTTGCGGAGAAAATTAATTGGTACATGCACCAATAGTCAATAGAACAACTGTTATGCATCAAACTTCGTTTATCCCTTCAATGCAGTTTCAAATGTGTTGATCTTATCCCATTAAAGATTTGAATTATTAATATTTTAGAAAACAGATCAGCACCAGTCCTCAATTAATCAAGTCTATTATTCTTATAGAATTATTTTTTGTGTGCGCATTGGTGGATTGGTTTGGATCAATCAAGAGCATAATGCATTACATTATCAACAAAGGCAACAATAAAATCACATTCCCCTAGGAGACCATTTATTAAAATCTAAAGAACCTAACTAGTAGCAACTGCTTATGAGTGAGGCCAAGTATCAATACTAAAAGCCTTAAGAAACCTTAACTGCTTTACATAAACTGGCACTTTAAAAAGGAAAACTTTTTGCCACTGGGATGATAGAAGAAGTTCAAGCAAGATGAATTACACACAAGCACATCTAGACGAGAGAGAGAGGCACAGAAATTGTGCTCCTAGGATTTTTACTTTTGGCCAATAGATGGGTCTTAGACTAATTGCATGTATTCCAGTTCGAATATTTGGAGCTAACGTGAAATAACTTTAAAATGAACTCAAAGAGAACAAAACAAGAAATATCCTCTTGTTAGAATGATTTATGACTGATTGACGATTGTAGTTTGAATGCCTAGCAAAACTAGGATTTCATCCTAACAAGAGCCCTCTGTTCCAGAATTAAGAATCCCGGGCACTTATGAGATTTCAATCTTCATACAACTAAAATAACAAGAATTTGACACATGTAGATTTGTAACAACTTCAGATTTTCTTAAAGTTCTAACAGCTTCAGTATTATTTTTACAACAGTGAAAAAATCTTCATAAAATTACATTTAAAAAAAAACATATACAAAGAGACGAGGAGAAAGTATATTTTTCTTTTTTTTGGTAAATAAAATCTTAATAAAATGTAAGCATAGAACATGGAATCCCATAGCAGAATTCATACCTTGAGTTAAATTACTTTCAACATTTTCCCCAAGTTTACCTGTAACTCCCTAGACCCGGCCTATGCGTTTCGACTAAGTCTAGTGGATCACAGTATGATTATTAAAGACATTTTTCGAAACCGTTATTCCATCAATATAAAATCACATTATAAATAACATGAAATTATAAACAAATTATACTATCAAAATCCAACTCGTAAATATAGTACCAATAAATAATAATTTAATTTAAAACTTGTCTTCAAATTCAATATCACAAAAAACCGAGCAGTATTAGCAAAAGAGTTATCATTATAAAATCCGATATTTTAAAATAAGGTCCATGTCACCAAAATAAAGTCAACTTGCCAGATAAAAACATTACAATTTGATTTACTTCAAGAGATATGTTGATCCTCCAAGTGCTCGAACCAAGGTATCTAACCAACAGTATCTGAAAGGGGAAAACATTTTCAAAAGGTGAGCTAGGCTCAGTGTGTCCCAACATTTCCATAAAATCACAATAGGTACAAATCATAGTCCAGTAATCTCACAAATTCGTAAAAGAGTTTCACTTTTTGAAAATCATAGTTTAAACCCTTTTCTGGTACACCATCAGTAGTTCCCAAAAGTATTTTCCATATAGCTTACTTTATGCACATAGCAAAAAGAAAGCCGACTTAAGGATAGGCTATGAAGCTTGTATCCTTAAGCCCAAGTCAATAAGTCCATATAGCTTACCCTAAGCACACAGCAAAGGAAAGCCGACCTAATGAAACATCTTGGGGCCCTCAAGAGTCACATTAGGCCCAGTTAGCTTGATCAGAGCTATTCCATCGTATTTCAATTCCAAAATTCAATTGCACCGTGACATAAATTCCATAAATCCAAAAACATGGAAATCATATACCATTTCAAAACAAAAATTAGATAGCAGCCATATTCCATAAATTGTCACATTAAATTGGTGCATCCATAAAACAATAGCCAATGAATTCGGTGTACCACATATTAAAACCAATAAAACAGTTCAATAATAAGTAGGGAACACACCTCGACAATAGGTTCAAATAGCAAATTAACTGATTGCTGGTTTCACCACGCTCTGCTACAATTTTCGAACGGGTGAATACTGGCACACGTGGTTTAACTAATCTAGAAGAGCTGGGTCGAGCTGTCGAATGATCCGGAGAGTCTCTTGTACCTTCAAACAATAATAATCTATCAGTCCCAAATCCTATTTAATTGTTCAAAACTAGTCTTCTTAAGTATATAAGCATTTTTCGAGTTTAACTATCAATTTGGGGTATTTCGAGTCTGAATTTGGCCAAACGGATTGCGGAAACGGAATCAGGACGTCAAAAAATATAAAGTATGACTTTTCGGAATTTCAGATTCTTGGTCAAAGTCAAAGTCAACCACTTTGACCGTCGATTTGGAGACCTTCGGGTTTGAATTTGGCGAAACGGACTGCGGAAATGGATTTGGCACGTCGAAAACTATCAGGATAGGTATACTCGGAAAAGATTTACGGTCATTTAAGGGTCGGTCAAAGCCATTTTAAGTTTTAGTCAAAGAAAGTCAACGGTCAACGGTCACGGTCACGGTCAACGGTCAACGGTCGGGTCGGGTCAACGGTCGGGTCGGGTCAACGGTCGGGTCGGGTCAACGGTCGGGTCGGGTCAACAGTCGGGTCGGGTCAACCCAGTTCAGACCGGTCAAACCGGTTCGAACCGGTCAAACCGGTTCAAAACTGGTCAAACCGGTTTTCGAGCAACTCACTCTCCCTGCGGCGGCGCGTAAACAGTGCCACAGTGTCGGAAAATTCCCGGAAAAATTTCTAAAAATTATTTTGAGCGATTCCGAGATACTTACAACGATTGGTTCAAATTTTTGAACGGCGGAGAGCTCGTATTTCAACTCGGCCGAATCTTTGACTGCTCCACCTCCTCACGCGCCGCCGTCGACGGCGAACAAGGTTGACACCGACGGACTCGAAACGACACAAGGAACACGATGGTGCAGGAGGTGTCGTAAACGGAACAACGATCGGCGGTGAATTTAAGTTTTTCCCGGCGATAGAGCTAAAAAAAACGACGATGCTTTGACTAAAAATTCCCGACGTTTGGCAGCGTTTCACTTCAATTAATTTGAAGGGTTTGTTCCTCGCTTGATGATGAACACAACGGTGGTTTCAATTTTAGGATTGGACGTCGAACGGCGTCGAAATCGGGCTTGGAAGTAAGGGTACGAGAGAAGGAAAATTGAGCAAATTCTCAATTGTGTTTTCTGATTTACAATCAGAAACCACGCTTAAATTATAAGCCTGCCGACACTCCTTGGAGGAATTCAGGGCTTGGTCCCTGAATTTCCTTCAACTTATAAAATGGCCTATAACTTTTCATAAATTTTAGTTCAGTCATTAAATTTCACCAATTTTCACAATTAACATCCAATTTCAATTAAATATTATTTTGTAAATATTCGGGTTGTTACAATTCTCCCCCTCTACAAGAAATTTCGTCCTCGAAATTTACCTTATGAGAATAGTAGGAAACTGAGCCTCCATTGACTCCAATGTCTCCCAAGTAGCTTCTGAGGGGCCTCGATTACTCCACTGAACTTTGACCATTGGAATTCGCCTATTCCGAAGAACTCTTTCATCTCTTTCTAAAATCTGAATGGGCTCCTCCTCATATGACAAATCCGGTCTCAGCTCTACTTCTTCAACCTGAATAATGTGACCTGGATCTGGACGGTATCGCCTTAACATAGACACATGAAAAACATCATGAATACGACTGAGGTGGGAAGGCAACTCAAGCTGATAAGCAACAGGTCCAACTTTCTTCAGAATACGATACGACCCAATAAATCGTGGACTCAATTTACCCTTACGCCCGAATCTCAATACTTTCTTCCACGGTGAAACTTTTAAGAAGACCTGATCACCAACCTCAAATTGTATATTTTTCTTTCTCTGATCTGCATAAGACTTCTGCCTATCAAATGCCTCTTTCAAACGGTCACGTATCAATCTGACTGTGTCCTCCGTCTCTCGCACTAACTCAGGTCCCAACGTTTTCCTATCACGCAACTCAGTCCAACAGATCGGAGTGCGACATTTACGCCCATAGAGTGCTTCATAGGGTGCCATACGAATGCTGGTCTGATAACTGTTATTGTAAGCAAATTCAGCCAAAGGCAAAAATTTCTCCCAGCTACCATGAAAATCGATTACGCAACCCCGTAACATATCCTCAAGTATCTGAATCACTCTCTCAGATTGACCACCAGTTTGTGGGTGAAAGGATGTGCTATAATCCAATCTTGTTCCCAAAGTTGTATGTAGCGCCTTCCAAAATCTCGAAGTAAATCCCGGATCTCGATCAGAAATAATAGACAATGGAACACCATGCAATCTGACAATCTCTGAAATATACAATCTTGCCAGCTTGTCCAAAGTATAATTTACTCGCACAGGAATAAAGTGAGCTGACTTTGTAAGTCTGTCAACAATCACCCAAACTGAATCTTTTTTCGAAGGAGTCATAGGCAAGCTAGTAACAAAATCCATAGTAATACGCTCTCATTTCCATTCAGGAATCTTAATAGGCTGTAACAAACCTGATGGATGTTGATGTTCTGCCTTAACTTGTTGACAAGTCAAACACCTCGCTACAAAATTTGAGATGTCCTTCTTCATGCCGATCCAATGATACCTCTCTCTCAAATTCCGATACATCTTATCTCCACCGGGGTTCATAGCATATGGACTACTATGAGCCTCAGTAAGGATAGTCTGTCTCAACTCAGCATCATCAGGCACACAATACCGACCTTTGAAGCATAGAACTTCATCCCGGTCAAGGGCGTAATCTGAGCTTGTCCCCTGCTCTACTTGCTCAAAGATGGGAAGCAAGGAGCTATCAAAGGGCTGCTTAGCCTTGATCTCATCAACCAAGGTCGGCTTAACTTGCAATTCTGCTAACAAAGTGCCATCATCATATAAATTCATCCTGGCCATTAAAGATCTCAACTCCGATACCGTCTTTCGACTCAAAGCATCCGCTACAATGTTAGCTTTACCAGGGTGATAATCAATCACACAATCATAATCCTTCAGAAGCTCTAGCCAGCGTCGTTGTCTCAAATTAAGCTCCTTCTGGGTCAGGAGATACTTTAAGCTCTTATGATCCGTGAAAATATAACACTTCTCTCCATAAAGATAGTGTCTCCAAATCTTCAAGGCAAAAATCACTGCTGCTAACTCCAAATCGTGAGTAGGATAATTACACTCATGAGGTCGCAGCTGACGGGATGCATAAGCCACCACTTTACCTTCTTGCATTAAAACACAGCCAAGTCCTGAGTGTGAAGCATCACTATACACTGTAAAATCCTTCCCGGACTCTGGTTGAATCAACACCGGTGCTTGAGTCAAAACCGCCTTTAATTTCTCAAAGCTCTCTTGTTGTGCCTCGCCCCAGTCAAACGGCACATTCTTCCTTAACAACTTTGTCAAAGGAGAAGCAATGATCGAGAAGCCCTCAACAAACGTCGATAATAACCAGCCAAGCCCAAGAAACTGCGGATCTCAGATACGTTCTTAGGTCGTTTCCAATTCATAATAGCCTCTATCTTGCTGGGATCGACCTGAACACCTCGCGCAGAAATAATATGCCCCAGAAACGACACTTCTTGAAGCCAAAATTCACACTTGCTTAGTTTGGCATGTAGACGATGCTCTCTCAAAGTCCGCAGAACGATCTTCAAATGCTCGTCATGCTCTGCCTCAGTACGAGAATAGATCAGAATATCGTCAATGAAGACCACCACAAATTGATCCAAATATGGTCGGAACACCCGATTCATCAAATCCATGAAAGCTGCAGGAGCGTTCGTCAAACCAAAAGGCATCACTAAGAATTCATAATGACCATATCTAGTGCGAATAGCCGTTTTTGCAATATCTGATCCTTTAACTTTCAATTGATAATACCCCGAACGAAGATCAATCTTAGAGAATACAGTAGCTCCTCGCAATTGATCAAATAAATCATCAATCCTGGGTAGTGGGTATTTATTCTTGACCGTCATCTTGTTCAATTTCCGATAGTCAATACATAATCTTAGCGACTCATCCTTCTTTTTCACGAACAGAACTGGAGCTCCCCATGGTGAAGTACTATGTCGGATAAATCCTCGATCGAATAATTCTTGCAATTGGACTTTCAACTCTTTAAGTTCCCTTGGAGCCATACGATAAGGTGCCATAGAAATAGGTGACGATCCCAGATAAGTCTCAATCTCGAACTCTACCTCTCTATCAGGAGGTAACCCAGGCAACTCCTCCGGAAAAACATCAAGAAACTCGCTAACTGTACGAATCTCCTCGATCGTGGACAATGCACCCTTGGTGTTCAAAATACAGCAATGAAGGTCTCATATCCCTTCCGGATCATACGATCAATTTCCATCGCTGAAACTATATTGGAGAGATAACCACGCCGTTCACCAATTAACACAACAGTCTGACCATCTGAAGTCTTTAGAGTAGCCCGCTTGTATTTGCAATCCAGCTTTACCTTGTGTTTATTTAACCAATCCATTCCAAGAATTAGATCGAACTCCTCTAAAGGAAGCTCCATAAGATCAGCGAGAAAAATTTCTCCCTGAACCTCGAGAGGACAACGCCGGAATACTTTATTCACTAATATCGCTTGTCCTACTGGACTTGTAACTGTAACAGTATTTTCAGTGTTCTCGATCGGAATCTGAAGGTTTCGAGATACTGAGCTCGAAACATAGGAGTGAGTGGAACCATTGTCCAATAATACAAAGTATGGGGTAGAATAAATAGTAAATGTACCTGCAATAACCTCAGGCTCATCTCTGTCATCACGACGTCTAGTTGCATAAACCAAAGCTGGCTGTCTAGCCTCAGAAGCTGTTGGCCCTCTATTTTACTGAGGTCGGGCTCTACTGTCTGTCCTGGACGCTGATCCTCGAGTCTTTCCTTGACTACGATCTCTAATTGGGGTCTGTACTGTAGTCTACGAACGCACAGGAGTTTGGGTAGTGGTCTGCTCAAACGAAACTAACTGAGGACAATCCATCCGATAATGACCACTAGATCCACACTGATAGCAAAGACCCATCTTCTTACGACACTCTCCTGAGTGCTGTTTACCACAATACTCACAAAAGGGCCCATTATAATACGACGAGGAACCGCCTCGACTGACAGCTAAAGGTGAGGATGTTGCAGGCCTGAAACGTGTATTGCTTCTCTGAGGGGCTGAAGTACGAGTCCTCTTTCCGGACTGTGCTGATGACTCCATCGGGCCTGAAAATTCTTAGATCGATCTTGATCAACACTCTCTTACCAGAAGCTAAAACCTCCACCTCTTCCGCATCTTTGGCTCTGCCCACCAGCACATCAAATATCTCATCCTGATGGGTTACAACTTGCCTACGCAGCTCATATCTGAGTCCAAGGGCAAATTTACGACATCGATCTCTCTCCGTAGGTACCATACTGAATCCATACTTCAGCAATTTCAGGAACTCGATCTCATATTCAGAAACAGTCATGTCTCCCTGAACCAGGTCTTGAAACTGTTGTCGTCTCTGAGCTAAGTAGCGCTCTCCCAGAAAACGACTCCGAAAGCGATCCTTAAAGAAATTCCAGGTCAAACGATCGGTAGGAACACTACTGGTCACTGACTCCCACCAAGTGTAGGCATTACCATCTAACATTACTACAGCACCCAGATATCTCTTAGTTGAGTCCAAACCCAACTGATCCATGCGTCTCTCTGTATCCTGGAGCCAATCCTCAGCTTCAGTAGGAGCTCACCAATCTGTCCCCCAAAAGTTCTAACTCCATTGGCAATCAACGTCTATGAAATAGGAACCTCAGATACAACACCAGTAGCTCTAACTGCTCCCTGTATTAACTGCAGAAACTATCTACTAAAATTCTCATCCAATGCAACTCCAGTAGACTCTGACTCAATATCGGTCGCTCCTATGATCGGTGTAGTCATGCCAATACCATCGGTAGGTGGCATATTCGTTGGTGTCGTAGGAGCAGGATCACCTATTGGAGGTGGGGGATCTACTCGTATCTCATCAATCGGATCTGCAAATCTAGCTACTCGACCTCGTCCACGACTAGTTCGACGACCACGTCTAGCACTCATTTTGGTAGATCTCGAGATTACAACAGAAGATAAACTTAAGGTTAGATAAACACTTGGAGTCTCGAACATAGTTAAAATCTTAATAACTTTGTGACATGGCCTTAGTAACTCGTTTTGTAAAATATTTCAAAACTGTATTTTCAATGTGGACTCATACACAGTCCGAGGGTTAAAAACCAAAAGCTCTGATACCAATAAATGTAACCCCCTAGACCCGGCCTATGCGTTTCGACTAAGTCTAGTGGATCACATTATGATTATTAAAGACATTTTTCGAAACCGTTATTCCATCAATATAAAATCACATTATAAATAACATGAAATATAAACAAATTATACTATCAAAATCCAACTCGTAAATATAGTACCAATAAATAATAATTTAATTTAAAACTTGTCTTCAAATTCAATATCACAAAAAACCGAGCAGTATTAGCAAAAGAGTTATCATTATAAAATCCGATATTTTAAAATAAGGTCCATGTCACCAAAATAAAGTCAACTTGCCAGATAAAACATTACAATTTGATTTACTTCAAGAGATATGTTGATCCTCCAAGTGCTCGAACCAAGGTATCTAACCAACAGTATCTGAAAGGGGAAAACATTTTCAAAAGGTGAGCTAGGCTCAGTGTGTCCCAACATTTCCATAAAATCACAATAGGTACAAATCATAGTACAGTAATCTCACAAATTCGTAAAAGAGTTTCACTTTTTGAAAAATCATAGTTTAAACCCTTTTCTGGTACACCATCAGTAGTTCCCAAAAGTATTTTCCATATAGCTTACTTTATGCACATAGCAAAAAGAAAGCCGACTTAAGGATAGGCTATGAAGCTTGTATCCTTAAGCCCAAGTCAATAAGTCCATATAGCTTACCCTAAGCACACAGCAAAGGAAAGCCGACCTAATGAAACATCTTGGGGCCCTCAAGAGTCACATTAGGCCCAGTTAGCTTGATCAGAGCTATTCCATCGTATTTCAATTCCAAAATTCAATTGCACCGTGACATAAATTCCATAAATCCAAAAACATGGAAATCATATACCATTTCAAAACAAAAATTAGATAGCAGCCATATTCCATAAATTATTCACATTAAATTGGTGCATCCATAAAACAATAGCCAATGAATTCGGTGTACCACATATTAAAACCAATAAAACAGTTCAATAATAAGTAGGGAACACACCTCGACAATAGGTTCAAATAGCAAATTTACTGATTGCTGGTTTCACCACGCTCTGTTACAATTTTCGAACGGGTGAATACTGGCACACGTGGTTTAACTAATCTAGAAGAGCTGGGTCGAGCTGTCGAACGATCCGGAGAGTCTCTTGTACCTTCAAACAATAATAATCTATCAGTCCCAAATCCTATTTAATTGTTCAAAGCTAGTCTTCTTAAGTATATAAGTATTTTTCGAGTTTAACTATCAATTTGGGGTATTTTGAGTCTGAATTTGGCCAAACGGATTGCGGAAACGAAATCAGGACGTCGAAAAATATAAAGTATGACTTTTCGGAAATTCAGATTCTTGGTCAAAGTCAAAGTCAACCACTTTGACCGTCGATTTGGAGACCTTCGGGTTTGAATTTGGCGAAACGAACTGCGGAAATGGATTTGGCACGTCGAAAACTATCAGGATAGGTATACTCGGAAAAGATTTAAGGTCGTTTAAGGGTCGGTCAAAGCCATTTTAAGTTTTAGTCAAATAAAGTCAACGGTCACGGTCAACGGTCAACGGTCGGGTCGGGTCAACGGGTCAGGTCAACAGTCGGGTCGGGTCAACCCGGTTCAGACCGGTCAAACCGGTTCAGACCGGTCAAACCGGTTCAAAACTGGTCAAACCGGTTCAAAACTGGTTAAACCGGTTTTCCAGCAGCTCACTCTCCCTGCGGCGGCGCGTGCGGCGCGTGAACAGTGCCACGGTGTCGGAAAATTCCCGGAAAAATTTCTAAAAATTATTTTGAGCGATTCCGAGATACTTACAACGATCGGTTCAAATTTTTGAACGGCGGAGAGCTCGTATTTCAACTCGGACGAATCTTTGATTGCTCCACCTCCTCACGCGCCGCCGTCGACAGCGAACAAGGTTGACACCGACGGACTCGAAACGACACAAGGAACACGATGGTGCAGGAGGTGTCGTAAACGGAACAACGATCGGCGGTGAATTTAAGTTTTTCCCGGCGATAGAGCTAAAAAAAACGACGATGCTTTGACTAAAAATTCCCGACGTTTGGCAGCGTTTCACTTCAATTAATTTGAAGGGTTTGTTCCTCGCTTGATGATGAACACAACGGTGGTTTCAATTTTAGGATTGGACGTCGAACGGCGTCGGAATCGGGCTTGGAAGTAAGGGTACGAGAGAAGGAAAATTGAGCAAATTCTCAATTGTGTTTTCTGATTTACAATCAGAAACCACGCTTAAATTATAAGCCTGCCGACACTCCTTGGAGGAATTCAGGGCTTGGTCCCTGAATTTCCTTCAACTTATAAAATGGCCTATAACTTTTCATAAATTTTAGTTCAGTCATTAAATTTCACAAATTTTCACAATTAACGTCCAATTTCAATTAAATATTATTTTGTAAATATTCGGGTTGTTACATTACCCAAATTGTGTACAGCAGCATTACACTTGTTTAAAACAGTATCCTCGTTTGGATTGTCCTCAAGCACAGATTGGTATGCAGTTAGTATCTTTTCTGGAAGACCTCCAACAGCCAATTTCTGATGGTGAGAAGATTAAGAAAGAGAAACATATCAAAAATTGCTAAAGAATAGACCAAGAAAACGTCTGAAGTCATAAGCATACAAACAAAATGGCTAGAATCAAATTAATAGATCAAAGTAGAAAGGAGAACTGAATAGGTAAACTCTTAAAATTCTTACTGCATGTGCATCCCTCTTCACTATCTGGATAGAATTTGAGCCTTTTCCATTGTACACGGCAGCAGCAGCAGGGGATACTGTTACCTGGTAGGTATGCAGTAAAAAAAATGGCTAGATTGGTATGCATGGTAACTGTTACCTGGTAGGTATGCAGTAAAAAAAATATAATAAAACAACATAAACCACTACAACACTCTTTCAGTAAACAAAGGAAAATCTACTAAATCATGCTAGGATATGCCATCCTAAGTACAAAATTGATGGGGTCAAATACTAAATAAAGCACTAGAACTTTATCTAGCTTCCTAAATGAGCCACTATTCTTCTCATCTATCTACGGAAACCTCCTAATCTATAACTCATATCCAGGTCGAACCTTATTATTAAAAAAGAATGCCACGTGTATCACTGACATTAATGCCACTGGCCATCTATCATTTTCTTCAGACAGATGCCAATACAACTTTTTTTGATAATGGAAAATTGAGAAATTTTCTAACTCAGCCATGGTCATTTTAATCAATGAATTTCGAAAAAACAGAAAAGCATTTTATTTGTCACAACAATAAAGGTGTCACCGTGCATAATATGACATCTTTTGATTCTCAGGGTGCTTTTGGCTGAGGAATTTTAAATTTTTTGAGATTTTTAAAAATACTACTCCTTCTGTCCCAATAAAAATGTCACAGTTGACTTTTTCTTGGTGAAATTTTTAATCTTTGACCTGATTTATTTTAAATATTTTAATTAATCAATTTTTATAATTAATATATTTAAAAACTGCTTCATCCATAGCTTTTAAAAACATTTACAATTTTTATCAAATAACAAATTTAAAATAATAAGAGGTCAAGTTTAAAAAAATTTGACAACCAAAACTAAAAAAATGACAAGTTTATTAGGATGGAGGGTGTAGCATTTTGAAATAAATCATTTCAAAATTCTAGCATTATGATTATTTTGTTTGAACAAGTAATCTTTTTAGAAATATTTAGGTTATTAGAATTTTACGAGTTTGAATAATAATTATAAAAGAAAAATAATGATATAAAAAATATGCAATATTTAGGCTATTCGATTTGTAAAAATATATAAATAATTTTAATAATATAAAAATTATATATTTAAAATTAAATAAAAATGATATTTTGAAATTCAAATTTTAACTTTATAGTGAGACCAGGTACATTAAATTAAATAAGACCTAGAGGAGTTTTAAAAAAACACCCCTTTTTACGTGGAATTTGGGCTATCAAAATCCCCTTTTAAAATTGCTTGTAAATTTTGAAATTCTCCCTGATTTTTCCTGAACAAGTAGATTCTTTTTGAAATTTTAGAAAACTTGACAAAAAATAAAAGTCCTCAAAATCCGTCATCCAAACACAGTCTTAGTGTGTTTTTGCTGCAAAAATTAAAAGAGGGGATTTTAGAGAAATTCGGTATAGTTCATAGGCTTATTTAGTACTTTATCCAAAAAAAAAAATGATGAACAGCCTTAAAAAATAAAACATACTGCATGAAAAACAATATATACAGAAGCTTTGATAAGGGCTGCTCTCCTCCATCAATGAACATAGTGCAGCAATAAAAAGAAATAAGGTCGAACAAACGATTAGAAATGAACATGGAACTTTAGAAAACTTAAGAGTTATTAAAACCGCTAGTTTCTGCCTATTAATTCAAGAAAATAATAAAAATAATCCTGTTGACTGAAAGCCTACAACTCACTCATATAGGCTTGCTTTCTTGCAAAAAAAATTTTCAATCCCGATGTAACACCCCAATTTAGGGGCTAAAATTAAGAAATTATACAGTGGCGGATTTAATTGATATTTTGAAAGAAGCATTGGGAATTAAATTGTAAAGTTTTAAAGTTGGCAGACCGTTTTATAAAGTGCAGGAAATTCAGTGGCTAAACCCATGATTTAACCATTTCTTATATATGATGAATTATAAGCTCCTCCTCGTGCGCATGTTTCATATTTTCCAAATTTCCCTTCTCCAACAACCCAACTTCCAACTCCAATCTACTCGCCGTCCGACCTCCAAACGACGAGCCGAAACCACCATCGTGTTCGTTGTCAATCGAGGAACAAAACCTCTCAAACCTTTCGTCGTGAATCATCACCGTTCGTCGTGAATTTCAATCGGAAGTATCGTCGGTAATAACTCGGTTTTAGTTGGGTTTTCATCGATTCACGACGATCGGGTCATCTGTTTACGACACCTCCCGCACCATCGTGTTCGTTGCATCGTGAGGAGGTTTGTCGGTGTCATCCTTGGTCTCCGTCGACGGCGGCGCGTGAGGAGGTGAAGCGGTCAAAGTTTCCGATTTGTTGAAATCGAGCTCTTCGCCGTTCAAAATTGTGAACCGAGCTTTGTAAGTATCTCGAAATCGCTCAAAATAATTTTTAGAAATTTTTCCGGGATTTTAGCACTGTTCACGCGCCCCCACGCGCCGCCACTGCGCGTGGGAAAGAAAAAAATGACCGGTTTGACCGGTTTTAGTGCATAGTTGACCGGTTTGACCGATCACAACCCGACCCGACCCGTTGACCCGGCCCGAACCGTTTACCCGACCCGTTGACCCGACCCGACCCGTTGACTCGCCCCGTTGACCCGTTGACCGTCGTTGACCACTGTTGACCAAAACTTTGACTGGCTTTGACCGGGCATTAAACGACCTTTGACTTTGACCGAGTATACCTATCCTGACATTTTTCGACGTTCCAAATCCGATTCCGCTGTCCGTTTTTTGAAATTCGAACCCGAAGGCCTCGAAATTGCCAGTCAAATCCGTTGACTTTGATTTTGAACGAAAATTCCAAATTTCCAAAAAGTCACATTTTATGCTTTCGACGTCCCGAATCCGAATCCAAAGTCCGTTTCGCCAAATTCGAACCCGGTAATCCGTCTTTCACTGATTTATCACCCGATTTGATCCGTTTATCACAATTAAGCTCCGTTTCTGATATAATTTATGTTGATATGTATCTGAGGAATTATTTGAAGTTGAATTGAAGATCGAAGGAATTCAAATGGAATTTTTATGGTCGATCGATATTGTACGGAAATCGAGGTAATACTTTACTACCTCTTTATGCTTTATGGAACATGTTGATATTGGTAAATGCATGAATAAGATAATGTTGGTCACTTTTGTGGAGTTGAATAATTTATTCACTCGATATGAATGTGGTAGAAATTCTGTAACTGAATACGGACCGAATGACTAAGATAAGAGATTGATAATTGTTAGAATTAAATTACAAGTTTGTGATTGGTGATAAAGAAATCAGCTCTGGATTTGTAACTTATATTTTATATCATCAAGGGTTAAATGTTAAAGATACTTGGATGAAAAATTATGAGAATACTCCGATATGGTAAAATTACGAAATTACCCTTATGTTGGAAAAATGATAAGAATTGCCACTGGAAGTTGGTTAATAACTCTGAAAAGACATATTGATCCGATATAACTACTGATGTGCATAAGAAATGTTAGTTTTATTTGGAAATTATGGATAACCGGTTTTAATCCTATGAGAGTTTGTGAAGGAATCATTTCAAAATCAAAGAATATTCGGGAAAGCAATTGATCATAGGATCTCTAAATTATAATTATTTTCGTTAAGAGCTAATATTGAAATTATCAGATTAAGAAATTACAAAAATGCCCTTGAGAGATAAAATAGTCTGAATTGACCCTGAATGAGAGAGTACTTTGAGGATTTGTACTTAACTCGATTAAGTACGAATTTAATTGTTAAGATCCTGTCTTTGTACAGAAAAATTTATAATATTCCGTTTGTAAAATCTGAGAACACTTGACCCGAAAATATTCGATAAGGAGTAAATACTTGAAGAGTAATTTATCGGAGGTATTCTGCTGACAGAATTGTTCGAAAGGACTGAAGTAAATGATAAGATTGAATTAAATAATAAGACCGGATGGAAGGAAATGATTGAAATATTCTAGAATTATAAAATGACCAAATTACCCCTAGAATGGAAATGACTCAAGAATGTCACCAAGCTCAGGAATGAATGGATATACTCAAGCTTTGAAATGAATAGAAAAAAATGTTAAGCACCAAAATGACCAAAATGCCCTTATGACCTAGAATGTCTTGGATTAATTAAGAAATCCAAATAAACATGGATGTTGTGCTACCAGTAAAAGTTGTGGAACGCAACTTAAGTGATTAACCAACGTTAGTACTATATCATTACATGATATAAGTATCACTTGAATGTTTGTTCATCTTCTCAAATTTGGATCGATGATAATTCTGGAAGTACTTGGCGCATCTCAACTCTAGAGCGCATACAGTACTAATAAGTGGGTAGTCGTTAGTCAAATCAACCACGAATACCAGAATGACTTTATTATATGAATAAATTGAAATGAAATGAAGTACAACGTGTATTTGAAATGCAGAAACGTCTGAATTATTCTGGAAAACTTTAAAGTAATCGAGATAGACTTGCTTACCAAACGAACTAAGTAACATCAATGACTAAGGATTAAATAGGTGATTTGATGAGTTTGGAAACACTGTTGAACTTACATGATGAATTATCATTATGGGTTATGAGCCATGGATCAAGTACGTCAGTATTTCCTGATATTGTTGAAACGTGGAAATGAAATAAAGACCGTTGGAAGATTTATTCAGTGATGATTATGGGGATGATCTCTATGGATCTGCACTATGGTATTAAAGAGTGAATACACTGGAAGGATAATGAATTGACTTGTTGACATGCATCGGTTTGAGAGTTGTGTAACTCGAGTTGTTTGATAATATGATCGATAGTCGTAGATTGTAAATGACTTGAATCTTCGATTCTATATTTCATCTAAAATCACTTCGGTCATGTTTGAAAAAAAAAACCAGTAACGCAGATGGAAAAGATTCTGAATATCTCATTTGGTTCAATTGGGTTGAAATCCTATGAATTTAAAGTATATTCCTGAATACCCCTGATTGTTTGGGTAATGGAATCACTCGCAGTAAATCTGAATTTAGAATTATTATATGTATAAAGGATCCTGAACGTTTTCCTAAAGCACACGA